TCTGGGGAATAGCTGCTGAAGGGCTGAAGGTATGGTTTGAGCTTAAGAAGCCAATGATGTTGCAAGGGTTTCAGCACATCACCCTGCACATAGTCTGGCACATAGCTTGCAGAGGGCAGTATTCACACCGCTTCGCGGTCGAAGCCGCCCGCACAGATCGCAGTCATTTGAGAGAGTTTATGTTTCAAGGCGTAAAGGTTAATATTCAGGCCATCCGATGGTTCTGGGTGGGCGGAGCGCATGGTGTGGGCATCAAAAACCACAACCATTCACCTCATCCAGTCGGACTGGGCACACGACCGAACACATCCACGATATCAATCGTACAGTGTCCCACGGTTTGCCTAGACGTTTGCGATTTCTGCGATGTACATAATATCTATACCTATCTATCTATCGATCTATCTATCTATCTATTTTCGGTTTGTCTATCTATCTGTCTATTTTTTATCTGTCTATCTATTTATCTAGCTATCTATTCAGCTATCTCGCCGTCTATCTACCTATATATCTATCTATCTATCTATCTAGCTAGCTATCTATCTATCTATCTATCTATCTATTTATCAAACTATGTATCTATTTAGCTATCTCTCCGTCTATCTACCTATGTATCTATCTGTCTATTTATCTACCTATCTATTTAGCTATCTCTCCGTCTATCTACTTAGCTATCTCTCCGTCTTTCTACCTATCTATCTAGCTATCTATCTATCTACTATCTATCTATCTATCTATCCATCTATCTATCTATCTATTGATCTACCTACCTATCTATGTAGCTATCTCTCCGTCTATCTACCTATCTATCTATCTATCTATTTAGCTATCTATCTATCTATCTATTTATCTGCCTATCCATCTATTCAGCTATCTTGCCGTCTATCTACCTATCTATTTATCTATTTATCAGCCTATGTATCTATTTAGCTATCTCTCCGTCTATCTACTTATCTATCTACGAAACGTCTGCGATGTCGTCAATGCGATCCGTCCCGACCGGCATAACCGACGTCGCCAACGTCTGATCCAATGCCCTTGGCTTGCCGAGACGTCTGCGATGTCGATAATGCGCGTTGTCCCGACCAGCATAGCCGGCATCGCCATTGTTTGGTCCAATTTTGATCACTTTTCAAAAAACATTGAACACTATTGAAAAACACAGCATTTCTAGGAGAAAAGTGTGCCCCCCCCCCAAGCTAAAGCTTAGGATTTAACTAGCCGGATTCCTTGCGATGTTTACACGAGCCCAAAGAACGCCCTCGGCACCTCCGGGCGGATTTTTCGTGTGCGGTGATTCGATGAGTTGGCAGAGCCCGAACTGATCAGCCAAGGCAAAATTGTCCTGAGCCCGGATGGTGGCCGTGCTGGACTTTTCTGATTGAGAAGTTTGAGCTGGAGATTCTGCATTGACTGCTAAGTAGCTGGATGGAGGGGAAGCTTTGATTTTGTGATGAGTTTTCTGATTTTCAACACCTTTCTTGGGGCAGCTTTCCAAGACTTCGCGTGCAGCCAAGGCAAAGGAGTGCCATTCCGGGTGCACCGCTTTCAATGTGACAGGCCGCGTCCACTCCAAAGGCTCAAAAGGTAGCGAACAGGCCGTCGGAAAGGTCAAGCGCTCCGTTCACGTTCATCCCAAACGACCGATTTATCGAGCCTTGTATTTGGACCTCAGGTTTGTACGTTTTGGCGGAACTCGTGTCAAATTCTGGACATCACAAAGTCCCCAACGGCAAACATCTTTGCCATCACCGTCATAAAGAAGGCCGGCTTGGCCTTAGGAATAGCACTACCCAAGGTGAACATTTGGACTGGACAGATTGCATAACTTGCCCAGCTTCCAACCCTGACAAAGTGTTTGTCCCCCACTTGACAGCTCTTCGCTCTCTGGTTCTGAAGTTGTGAAGCTGAATGAGGGAGTTCGTTTGAAGAAGCGGCGCTTTCGCAAGCGGTTGAAATCTCACCGGCCGAAGCCTTTGTCTGAGATCTCCATGCAAATCCTCGCATCTCAATGCATTTGATTCCGCTCAAGGGAGATGCCAATCTCTTGGAAGAGGCAAACGGTGTTGCACAAGGTCCTATTTACAATACTCAGCTTCACAATACTGCTTTCCAGCCCCTCTCAACTCTGTGCTTCAGCGTGGCACACCTGCTCAGTGCTGTTGATGTCCCGACAGAGTTTAGCGAAGGTAGGGGGTGGCTTCTTAGATGTTGCGTAAGTCCCTTTTGCTCTTACTTCGGGATGAAATCGCTGGGCTTTGCTGCTCTTGCCATCGACAAAGCCACCAAGCAAAGAAGGCGGGTCCAGAGCGCAAGCAGCACAAGCCGAGAAGGTTAGTGCAAGATTTGTCATTTTGTTTGGTGCGAGTTGGAAGCACGAGCGTTCAAAGAGCACTGCATGCATTCAGAGCTGCACGCAGAAGTCTCCCATGGTATCAATGGAGGTGCATTTGTTGATTTGCATGACTGATGGCAACTCAAATTTTTTGGCTCCACTATCTAGACTAAAAGGAGCAGATGTGTAACCTCTAAAGGCATTCTTGAATGGAGTTGTAGCCCTGCTTGATCCTGTATGATGTGCATGACATTGAGGAGCCTTCACACTTTGTCTTGCCGGCAAGAGCCTGCCTAGTTTCATTAATTTTGCACCAGCAATAGACCAATGAGTGCCCATCGGGTTTGCAGGATTTGGCATGAGATCAATTAACACATACCATTGTGAGAACCTCTAAGAATGTTCTACGTGAAAGACGGATGCGGACTTTGAGATACGTGAAAGACTTGAGACTTGAGATTCCAGGTCTGCCAGTCGAAGTGAAAAGTCTAAGGCAGTCGATACAAATCATTTGTTAAGGCTAGCAGCTTTTGGGGCATTTGAGGCCAGTCGAGAGGTCTCTCGAAACCCGGTTCCATAGGTTCTGTGGAAGGATATCCCATCATGGCTCAGGAAGTGCCACAGGCTTTCGAACGACAGCTTCTTGGAACCACTTGGGCCGATTTTCTTCTTCGGTCTTCGGCATGAAAAACCATGCAGCTGGAAGATCAGAAGAGACAGCGAATGCGACGAAAACGCGCACGTGCAGACACAGATCCACCGTTGGACCTTCTCCTCTGCCGTTTTTGCAACGATATGAGACCACTCGTGGGCATCTAACACCCCTGAGACCGCTCAAGTTGGTCAACACCGAACCGAAAGGGGAAGACATGCCACGCGTTTGACCTTGCCTATACTGGCCAAGCATGAACACAGAGCTTGTCTAGCAAGTTCAAGCTAGGCTAGCAACTCTTCAAGTCAGAAGTTTCGGTTTTGGCTCTTTGTTTCAGAGTTTGCTGCTGGTTCCGGATGATGATTGCTCTTTGCACCTGCCCTGAATATCAGAGTGCACGTCAATTTCCCTGAGTTCTGCTGCGTCTTGCAGCAGAGCTTGCGAGTTGTGCGTCGCTCAGTCCCAAGTCCGCTTGGCTTCGGCAGCTCACAGTCACTGCAGTGCAATTGCTCGGATTTCTCTCATGCTTAGTCTCACAACAAACTAGTCCGACTTAGTCCTGTCCTTCTTGCTCTGACCTGGCAAAGGAAATTGGGTCCCTTGAAGCGACCTTTCCAAAAACGGCCATGTCGTTGGTTGAAAGACTTCATGAAAAAGGCATCCGTGAGCCTTGAACTTGAAAGCCATCAAGGCCAAAGTCTGTTTCTCTCTAATTGCGATGGTGCAAAGAGACTTTTAAATCATTTCAGGGATACAGCGGGCACCAAGTGTCATTTCAGAGAGACCGTTGAGCCGACCCTGACTCCCTCTTGAGGGAGCCCAAGCGACGTCGGAATCCGACCTTATCAAGAAAGCTAGTGGCTCGACCTGCGCCAGGTTTGGCTCCTTGTTTGCACTGTCTGTAGATCAAAGTGTTTTGTTCCACAAGGACATCAAAACTATTTTCGACATGTGGTGGAAGCTCAACTAAGGATACCTGTGGTGGATTAGCTGTGGTGAGGACCCAGTAGCCGTAGCCGCTATCAGAAGAAAAGCCTCCTGCACTTGCATTCTTTTTTCGCGTATAGTCGTATTTTTCAGCTAGTGGTTTTTAGGGCTGCATGAAGAAAGTGGTGCCAAGTAGTCTCGATACATCTTTTTTGATCTACTGATCTACCGTTCACAGGACGTGACCCCTGAAATGGGCGAAGCCACACGAACCGTGCTTGGCAGGACTATGGCTGTGGCCCTGAACTTCTTTGACATTATTCAGGTGAGTTCCTAGAGCGTACAAGTGACGAATGTTTCATGATGTCTTTGTCACATCAAGCCATGCACAACGTTCAGTAAAGTGTTTAAGCTTCTGCAACGACTTCTCTGGCCGCGCACGGCCCTTGTCAATCCGCTCGGCTTTGGGCGGCTGCTTTGAGGTCATGGGGGCCATGCCAAGCACGGTGGCCGGAAGGCAGAGTGGACGAAGCTGAAAGACAAGGTTAATGACAAAGCAACGGACGAAGCAATCTTACTCAAGCAATGATATATATATATAAAGCAGTATGTATGGATTACTTCAACAAACGAGCAAAGTGAGATGGAAGAAGAAGCAAGCTTGCTGTGAGTCATTGGCAGGGCTGAGGCTGCAAGGAAGTCGCATTGGCTAAGATGCTAAGAAGTCCAGTCGAGCTGTTTTGTTCTCTGCACAGGGCAGTGGTTCAGACTGGGAGTGCTCCAGGCAGCGATTTTGTCCGAATCCTCAGATAGAAAGCTGAAGAAAGCTTGAAGAAAGCTTTTAGAAAGAGACGGTCACTTCAGCAGAGAGACGGTCACTGAGACGGTGCATGCCAGAGAGGTAGTTTTGGGTGCTGAGTGCTCAAGTAGACCATGCGAGATTCACTTGACATTCCACAGAATGATCTGCGGAGATTGCAACATGGGCACAAAGTAGAGCTCTGCTGTGACTGCTTTCGCGAATCTCTAGCTTTCGCAGCGAATCTAACGAAGAAAAGCACCCACGACGGACGCATATGCAGAATACGCATGGTCACCGTGACCACTGTCGGTTCCGAATACGCCGTTCCCACTCGGCCGTTCCCATGGGTGCTCATGGACTTTTGGAGCCGGACCGAGTGCACAGCCACAGGATTGGCGACGGCTTTGGCACCAGTGGAGTTGAGTCCAGCTTGGGTCCTTCAATCTCTTGGTCCAGCTATTTGAGAGGGGCTCTTGCACACAGCTTAGTTTGGGGCAGTTTGCAAGTTGGTGCCCTCAGTCCATTCATCACTTTGGCCTTGTATCATCTACAAGGACCTGGCACCGCTGTGTTTTTCCTTTCTATGGCCGTGCTGAGCGTTTTGGTTCCTTTCAGTCACTCTCCATCCTTCTGCCGCTTCTACTTGGGAAGCGCAGCATGCGTGGGTGGATCTACTGTTTGGGTACCGGAGAAGATCCTCCAACGTCTTCAAGCTGGAGGATACTTGTGCCTGAAGCCTGCAACAGTTCACGTGCGAAGGAAGCAAGCAAGTTTATGTGTTTTGTGTGAAGCATATGGACTACACCCAATAGCTTCTTTGTGTCATTTTCTGAGCTACCAGTAGTCTGGCAAGTTTTTGTGTCGAAGCACTATCTGTTCTTTTGTTGGACGTAATGCTTGAATGAATCCAAGGGTTTGCTTTCACCCGCATGGGATTCTGCCGTTGGGATTCAGCTTCAACGGGCAACTTGGTATCAACTTGGTCCAACAACTTCGCGAGAACATATAATCAACATGGTGTTTTGCCTAGTGCGTGAGTCATTGTTGCATGTGTTAGTTCTTTGTTCTCGGACCCGCAAAGTGCATATTGTCTAATCGCATGCTTCGTGCAGCACTTGCCTCAGGGCCTTGAGGGTTAAAGCTGAAGAGCCAACCCAGTTCCTCCCGGAGTCGTTCAACTTCCCAAAGGACGCAGTACTGGGGAGTCGTTTATGTCGAAGGCTGAAACACTTGGCAAAAGAGCCCCGAAATCAGCTGCACACGAATGAGACTTTTGAATTCCTTGTGAGGACTGCAATGGTGTACAAGCTCCAGTTCTTTGGCGTGTACCCTTCTTTGCTCCAGCTCTCCGGATGTGGGATGCGCACAGGCCTCAGTATAGCTATGCAGCTATGCGGCTATGCGCATCTGTTCTTGCAGCATTTTTCAGCGACTGAGGTGCACACCTGCCACCAAAAGACCCTTATCTACACCAAAGGATCATTTTTCAATGTTTTACATATTATCATTGTCGTTATTTCGCATAATAGTCATTGTGACGGAGAGTTGCCACTTGTTTCGGGACTGTCGTATGGGAGGTCCTACATTTTTTGAATTATTGATATTTTCTTTGATCTACTGTAAAAATACAATTATATATATAATATATATGTACACAAAAACGTTATATTCTATGAATCTTCTCCGCCACGCTGGACCAACATGTCTAGAATTGGATATGAAGTCTTTCTTCGAGTGTTGACCTTAAGCTTATCCCGCACAGCTGCCAGGCAATATGAAGAAGCTATTAGCAGCAAAGACGGCTTTTGGAATTATTCCGGGTGGAAGCGAGGATGTAGCAATCCACGAGCATGGCAAGGAGAATGTCTACATCAATTCTCGTTATGGTTTCATAAAATATGCTCTCCAGCATGGATACTGTTTGATCTTGGCCTACACTTTTGGTGAAAACGATCAATATTACAGCCTGTCATGCCTAAGACCGTTGAATCTATGGCTGGTGAAGCGTTTCTCGACTTGTGTGGAACGCCATGTGCAAGAACGGACGAGCAAGAAGACCTTGTGCATCAGAGCTTGTTCAGCTTGTGCCATTTGTAATCCTTAGCTGAGGTTTCGGCTTTGTGCTACCACTCTTCTGGGGCAAGAACTTTTGCCCACTGCTGCCCAGAGGTGGCGGTTTGAACACCGTCTATGGCAGAGTGCCAGCCTCGGCAGAGAACCATTTGCGGATTTGCGATATTTGCGAGTTTGCGAGGGGAAGATTTGCAAAGTTTCTGCTCAAACACCATGTCCATTCCTTTTGGACTTCACCTTTGCATCAGCTCTGTTACACCGAATATACAGTATGCTGTTTCACGAGCAACTTTGCTTCTTTAAGTCATACGTCATAAGTCATATGTCATAGATTTGGACAACAAGGTGCTGCTGTGCTACTCCGCATGCTTCGCTGGGTTCGCTAGGAAGCTGGCTCAAGAAAGACTCATGTTAGTTGTCACGTGCCTAAGAGTCTTAGAGTCTTCAGTTCTTTTTTCAGACCTTGGTGAGGTCATTGACCTACCAGTGATCCAAGATCCTACATCGGAAGACCTGGTCAAATGGCATGCGATCTACGTTGAAGAGCTCAAGGCGATGTTTGATCAGTACAAAGGTCAATTCGGATTTGGTGACAGAGAATTGCGATGTCACTGAAGCTTTCTGAGGGCCTCTGACCATTCTAATCAGCTCACGTAGATTTACGTTTGAGCTATTTTGCGGTTGTGTTACTGGCCTTTGAGGCCTGTGTGCCGGCCGGTCGAAAAGGAGACTTGCTGATAGGTCTCCATGCCGAAGTGTACACACACACACACACTTTCGCTCGAGCAGCAAACCGTGTTTTTCCATCGTCTTCTGGCCATCGAGCAGCTCTCCCCTTTCGCCACCCTTCTTGAACAGGTTGAGGAAGAAGCAACAGCTAGACGTTGCAATGGATTAGATTCCTTGTGCCTGAGGCAGGCTTGGTGGTGGAATCTACCAGCAAGACGATGCGCTGTGGGGATGAGGTCTTCGGTGTGGCAGAAGGCAGCTTGCAGCCGCTTGCCTGGGAAGCAAAAGCTTGTTGCCGAAGGAACACTTGGATGTGCATTAGAATAGGGAGACCCCCAAAGACCCCCTGATAGAAATGAAAACTGCCAAGCCCCCTCGGTTGCGGGGTCTTGGTTGCTTGTAATACAGTCATTTCTTCGAATTGTTTGACCCGAGGTCTTACATTTCCAGCTCACGCTGGTTTGCGGCTTTGACCCCCAGAGGTTTGGATGATCTTCATGCTCAAACGATTTCATCCTTGCCCACAGTGGCTTTGTACCCCAGCTTCAATTACGAGGTTCTTTGCAAGCAGTTTGACCAGTCTATCCTTGCATTTGTTTAAGCATTTCTGAGCAATGTTGCCAATATGATGTTGAAACTATTGACGATGCTTTATGGATTGAGCATCGTGTGGTCTGTCTGCTCTCGGTCTGTCTGTGCAGGACGATTGCCAGCGCCATGGATTTTGGACGAGTCGTTCATGGGGATTTGGTGGTCATCCAAGCTGGCACAGGCCCGGAGTCGTCTAGGACGCTACGGACGCTACGAACGGGGCTCCTGGCATCGCTAGGAACGGAGGGACGCTTGGAACGGGCCGTGGCTCGGAGACTCGGAGGCGTCGGATGCGTCGGACCAGGTGGCACCGGATGCGCAGCTTTGGCGGCTCTTCGCCGTTGTGGTGCTTGGCCAGTGGCCACAGCAGGAAGTGCTGGGTTCCCAGCCGGTTCTGTACTGGTTCCGCATGGGTGAAAAGCGCACGCCGCACGCCGTAGCGTGTGTCTTTTTCAAGAAGAACATCATATGGAGACGGAAGACGTCAACCACCCTTGAAGCGGATTTTCGGATGGTGTTTCGAAGAAGCCAAGTCGGACTGACCAACCAGCCAGTCCTTGGTTTCTGTCTAAGGCCAAGAAGCAATGCTTTCTCCGCCTTCGCGGTGTACACATTGTCTCGAGCACCCGCGATGGTCAAGCGCCCTTTGGAGATAGATTGGAGCAGAACGCACGGAGCTACATTTGAGAGCAAAGTAGAGCTGCTCCACGCACAGCAGATGAGCAGTAGATGAGTCGCATTTTTCCGAGGTTTCTTTGGGACTTCTTGGCCAGCCTACCAACCAGATGTCTTGGGGCCGATGTGGTGGTGAACAGCTAACGCACGACGATTTCATCCCGAGAGGAGTGCAAATTCCCATACCCAAACGAGATAGAGCACATAGCTGACATTCTTTGTTCTGAGAAGAGGACGTTCTCTTCGAAGAATTGAACGGACAAGCTAAGGGACAACGCATTGTGTAATTTTTATTGTTTTGGCATTTTTGAATTGTCATGAAGAGCATTTATGCACAAAATAGAATTTATGTCTTTGTTGTTTGGCTGCTTGTCTGTATCTTTTGCTCTTTGCAAATCTTGATCGTTTCCATTTTGTGGTTTTCTTGCTGGAGCTGACCGACTTGTCACACGCCCCAGATACAGGTTGATGTGCTGGACTGTGGCAGTTGATGTCACGAAGAAACCCCAACATGCCTTGCTTGTGTGGCCAGACCTGCCGGCCACACGTATCACGTATGGCCAGTACAGCTAAAACCTTCTTTGCACAGTATCGCTTTTGCCTTGAACGCAACCACAACCGACTTGTAATCAGCACAGAGGCCAGCAGTACACGCTATTATTTGCATTTTTTCCGTATGGCTGTTTCTCATTGAATTGCAAGCTTTCTGGTTGTTGCTTGCTCTGAGCACAAACCATGGTATGATCTTGTTATGTGCCAGGTCTTGACTTGACGCCTGGATATGAGTCAAAGGCGAAAACCCCCTCGTGCAGAGAACACAGCTCATCTTTCAGTATCGGAACGTCGCAGTCACGGCGCGCACGTCGCTGCTTTTTCGGAGCGTTTCGCCGGATTCGCCGTGGATTCGCCGTTTCACGCGCCGGACGGACGGTTCGTCCGAAGCGATGCTGGCAGGGTCCGAAGCGTAGGGGCAACGCCTCGCAAAGCTAGCAGCTAGCGGACCACTCGAGCGCTGGACAAGCTTGGTGAGTCGCCTCGCTGAAAAGGCTTCGGAGTACAAGGTCGAAGGAGGCTCGACAAGGTCGTCATATCGCCCACCGTACCACCACCTTCAAAGTGTCTTCCCGCTCGAGTGACGGACTGTGACGCTGAAGTTCGCAAGACTCTTTGTTTGAACATTTTTTATCAGAGCCTTTTCAGAGTAGGCGAAACTGCCAGCCCATCGAATGCCTTTCATTGAAGGTCGGCATAGAGTGCGCAGCTGTAAAGCATCTGAGCAGCCGAACATTTGCGAAAATATTATGAGCTGGGAGTTTACTATAGTTTACTTCTGTTTTCACTTTGCCACATGTTTATCAACAAGATTTTGGGTGAAGATTTCTGAGCAATGGCATGTGTAGCTTAGTTGGTAACCACTCTTTCAGAAAAAGGGACCAAATATATTCCAGTGGTGTTTGCCAACATAACTTCTTTTTCAATGAAATTGTTGACAAGCTTTGCCAAACTCGGCATGGCGTTGCTTTATGCGATTTCGAAGCGATGCCCGCTTTCGGGCAAAGGTTCCGGAAGGTTCGTGGAGGGAGGGCGACGCTCCAGGGCAACCTTCACAGATTGCAAGGATCTTGTAAGAAGTTCACGATTTCTTTTTCCATGCGAAGGTACACCACATGGCGCCATGGCGCACAGCGGCGCACATGCCACTTTTCAGAACTCACGCCGAGAAAGTGAGCCGCCCTGACAGTACCCGCACTGTTTGAGCTGTGCTGCACTTGTGACACCATGGCCTTTGGCAAGGTGACATGCCATGTGTGCTGTGCGTGTGCTTTGCAAACAAGTACTACCAAAGCACAAAACCAAAGAGAGAGAGAGAGAGATGTAACATCTGGCTTTTTGTTTACATGATATACAAATCCTTAAAACTAAATCACCTTTCTGCCTAGTCCTCCGTGGATCCCATAGTATTGGTTGCTAACCTATTAGAGTTGTATGAACAAACATGCGACGCTCACCAGTGGCACCGTGCCGGGCAACATTGATATACTCCAACAAGCACCTCCCGGTGCAGCATGAATTAGCCTCTCCGTCTCCACAATCATGCATGTACAAGCAGCTCCCACATCATATTTGGCATCAGGAAAAGGTTGATTGGCTTGCGCATGATTCCTTGCGGATAAAAACTAGAGATTGTGTCTTCATGTGTGTTTTGGGTTGCTCATTTTGGGTCACAGCACTGGTGGGTTGTTGTGTCTTCTTGGCTTCCGATTTGGACGATGCTCTGCTGAGCAAAAGATGCTCCGCACCATGCTCGGAGCAGTGTACAAGACAAACATCAAGGAAACAGGTCACAAAACATGTGACAATGTAGTCTAAGAGCATTCACAACACAAACAACCTACATATAGACTGGCACGCTTGCGATGTTGAGGACTTTCCACCTTGGCCCCGGGAGGGCGCGCTGTGGAGCTAGCAAAGCTGCGGGTGCGGACTTCAAGGGACAGAGAGAGATAGAAAGGGATAAGAGAACGTTGTCCTTGTCGAAACGTCGTGATTTGAAACCGGCTCTTTTCAACGCAGTGAAGAGAAAGGAATCGCCGGAATTGGAACTCCATCTTTGTGTTTGGTATGTTTTTGTGCGTCGTTTCCTTTTGGACACAACACGCATTTTCATCGTTCATTTCTAGGCCATTGCCACTTCGACTCAAACGTTTTTGATCCTTCCGTCAAGCTCTGAGGTTTGGTCTGCTCAAGCTGTGCAGAAGTTCCGCAGAGATCTTTCGTATGCAACTCTGCTGCCCGGCCAGACGCTGCGCCAACTCAGGCTGATCGTCACCCTTGGTAAAGGCTGCTACGTAGTGCCTTTGGGCCTGTGATTCTTGGTAAATACTCAACAGCTTGAACCTTTGCCACTTGATTGTGTAGAACTGTGATGAACAGCCAAGTGCAGTTTCTGTCGCTCTGCGCAGATCGCCAGTCAGGTTACTTGATGCGAGAACGCTACGTGCTGCCCCCACCTTGGCGTCCGAACTTCGAGCCATTGCAGCAGCAACACATGTGCCCTGGCTCCGAGTTGCCTCGATCCATGTCGACATCCGAGTTTCGAGTGGACGAGTTCTCGTCTGCGACGAGTTCGTCGAAGCCGTTTTGGGTGTGCGAGAACTCGTCGAAGCCGACCGCGAAAACAAAGCGGTTTTGGGGTCCGCGAGGCGAGCGAGTTGAAGCTGCCGCCGGTCTCAGTTTTTGCATTCTCTGACGTGTTGGAGGCAGGGATGGTGGAGATGTCACTTGCCACGGAAACTAGGTTCTCGTAGAGGTTTCTTCTTGTTGGGGCATGATGCTGCTGGTGTTTGGTTTTGCTTCTGCCAGTACAGTGCATGCCGGCGAAAGCTTTGCAAAGGCCCCTACTGCTTTTGCTGCTAATTCAACTACTTCTACTCCTACTATATACTACTGACTGCTACTTACTCCTGCTACTGCTGCTCATGGTTTCCAAAAAGCCTCGCCGCCCTCCGTTCTGGGCGCCCGACCCGTTAAACATCCGCATCTGACATGTGAGAGGCGTGCACGTTGGTGCGGTGCCCGTTATGAACTCAAATTGTAAGTCCCAAAGACACAAGAGAAAGATGCTTCTTTCAGTGTGTTCTTTGGCATTGGCGGTTTTGAACACACGTAAAGAGTAGGTACTTCTTGGGTTGCCCAAATGATAAATTAATGGCTTCGACCTTCAAGTCCACCCGCCCTTTGCCTTTTGACTGTTCATGTTGGCAGGACTTCAACGCCTTTTGATATTCAACCCGC